GAGAAGAGAAGGCTTCGGGGAGACCTTATTGCAGCCTCTCAGTACTTCAAGGGGGCTTATAAAAACGATGGCGGCAAACTTTTTAGCAGGGCCTGTTGCGACAGGACAAGGGGGAATGGCTTTAAACTAAAGGGGGGTAGATTTAGACTAGATATAAGGAAGAAATTTTTTACACTGAGGGTGGTAAAACACTGGCACAGGTTGCCCAGAGAGGTGGTGGATGCCCCATCCCTGGAAACATTCAAGGTCAGGTTGGCCGGGGCTCTGAGCAACCTGATCTAGTTGAAGATGTCCCTGCCCACGGCAGGGGGGTTGGACTAGATGACCTTTAGAGGTCCCTTCCAACCCAAATTATTCTATGATTCTATGATTCTGGAAAGAATCTGGCCAGAAAAGGCACATCCTGCTAATAAGGATGCATGTTGGCATGTTAGTAACATGCAGTAACGTTTTTATGTCTTTATATGGATATAAATTTTGCTTTGACAACAGTAAAGTGCTTATTACTGCCCTGAAAGGTAATATTAGCTAATATAATCATATGAATTTAACATTATTTTCAACTATACCTCTTCCTTGCATACAAGTTGCTTTATTAACACTCAGAATTTACAGAATAAATGTTTAACAGGAAATTTTTCCCATTCAGGGCAGTCAAGAAAATATACCAAATGCACATCTCTTAAAGCAATAATCTATACAGGAGGCCCTTCTTCTATTCTTCTATTCATTCTGTGGAAGACTTCTCAGAGACAATGCATTGAAAACATATGACAGACTTCCTCAAGTCTGATTAACCTCAGATACTGACAAGCATCTGTAACTATCTTATTAGGCAAAGAGGATCATAACCCCCTCCCCTCCCGAGGCTAAACTGAAAAAGTTGGCTAGGACGGGGTGACAGATTTGACAACTATAGGTTTGCGGGGCTATATTGGGAATGTAAGCAGCTAAATCCTGGCAGCTGCCAAGACTCTGTGACCAAATGAGATAACTAGGAATTTCCAAAGTACTGACTCATCCTAAGGCTGGCATTCAAAGGAAGTCAGATGAAATGCTGCATGTTGGATCTTTCCATCAACTACAGACAGCTGGCTCAGACAGAGACATCTCCATTGTGAGCACTTTGAGTTAGAGGAAATGACACCGCCTCCCTGATTTATTTCAGAGATCTTAATTATACTAGTGATAGAAGCAGCTGTGATGTTCAGCCCTTAGGCAATGAAAACTTAGAATGCAGACAAACAAGCAGCAGCAACCAAAGCTGGGCCACAACTTCCTCTGCCCATGATTTTTCAGATGTCACCAAAAATACTACAAATGAGCCCAGAAATTCAGATGTCCCCTGCAGGCACTTGGCTGTGGAACAGGCAGAGTTACATACAGCTGTTTCTGACTGGACAACTTCACACAGCTGCTGAGGAATTATTCACATGCTGATTTTGTTTACTCTTTGGAAGATTACTTCATTTTAAGCCTAGAATATAAACTGTTTGACCACAAACTATTACAATATCAATCCCATTCTGTCCCTTGACTTAATGTATAGAACCACTGCGAGTGCAATCTACCTGTTGTGTCAAGCCTTTAAAGAGAGCTCTGGTAATGTTAATCAAGTTTTTGGATCCAGAAACCTTGGCGTACATATCTTTAATGCCAATTAGTTTGCAGATGGTGATGATAGCTCGGTGGCAACGAAGACCATACCCTGGGGAGAAAAAAATATAAATTAGCATTATGTGATTATTTGTAAGCATACAACTTAGCTAAGGAAAAAGAGAGAACTAAGACCTCTTCTTAGTTATTTTTGTTACCTAGCATGTTAGAACACATTATATCTTAAAAATTGCAAAACCATTCTGGGAAGACCATTCTTCCTAGTCTTTGCAGCCGTACTAACATAAAGATCATGGGGTTTTTATACTAAATATACGTTACTTAACTTATTGCAAAACCAAATGAAAATGTCATCACCTATAAACTCAAAACATAAACCCATTAAAAATGCAACCTGAAGAATTGTTTAATACCACAGGTTTGGGAGTATTCCTTACAAGTAGCATTGGCAGCTTTAGAATAATCTTCCACAAACATACTCCAACATCCCTGGGAACATTCACCAAATGAAAGGCAATTTCTTTCTCCCACTCAGCAGAAAAATAAAACTCTAGTACTTCCCAAAACTAATAACAAGAATAACAATAACAATAATAAATAATTAGCAGAGAAGCAAGGCAACAAGCTTACTTAAAAGAGTAGTAAAAAGAAGCCATTACAAGGGGAGAGGATCTAAATGTAACTGGATCCTGACCAAGACTTTCTCTTCTAAAAAGCAATACCTACATAGCTTCAGAACCACTTCCTTTGCAATTTCAGGTGACAAACTGCTGAATGACAGCTTCAGTAACTCCTAATGATGGTAAATCTGACTTTAAAGTCCTGGTTCACATGCATGATGGAGGGATTTAAACTGGTCTCCTATGGTGAAGTTACTGCTCAAAACTACTGGTATGCTCAAGCACTGTCCTTTGGGCTTCCTTCCAGAAGGACCCTGCAGTAGAAGCAATGTCAGTGTCTCTCCTTCCCAGGGAGATTGCTGCTGGATGAGAGATGCCTACAGTGCCTTCCTAAAGCCTGAGATTGTGCTCAAGACCTCTATCAGACACAGAGCAGGCAGAGAAATTGGGGAGGGAAGAAAAAGGGAAGTCCAAGTAAGCCTGTGGGCAATAATGCTTCAACAGAAAAGTCTGGCCTAAACACAGAGCTGCTGCAAAACAGGGTGAGTGCCCACTGGCACTGGTGTCTCTTGCTGCTCACAGGCGTTTGGGTAGCCAAATAAAACCTACCGCATTTTTATTTTATTCAGCTCTTGGTAAGCAAAGCTTTGAGCAGCCAAAGTGGGAAGCTGCCTGCAAATTGAGGAAGGCATCATTGCACCCACTTATACCAAATTCACACTTTGCAGTTGGTCTCCAAAATATGAACCTGTTACTTGCCTCCTGACTCAGCAACAGCAATTCACCAGCTTCACAGTCTATGCAAAATATAACAGTCGCTAGCCACCAGCCACAAGAAAGTTATGCTTGTCCTCTTCAGGTTACAAAAGCTAGCAGAATGCTATGCACTAGCAAGAGAGTAAGACAGCACAGATTATCAAGGTACTGTGCAGAGACATCACTTCCTTTCTCCTGGCCCAGCAACTGGCATGAATTACGTTTTGTTATTACATTAGTGGCACAACGTGACGGACAGGGAATGGAAATAAAGCAGGTAACAGACTCCTCAGAGCTAAAACTACATTGGAAAGACAGCAAAATACTCCCTATATTTCCAGAAAAAACATTTTAATCAAGCTTAAAGAACAAATGAGTGTTGCAACACTCATTTGCTTTCAATTTACTGTTCAAAGCAGTAAGATCATCGAAAAAAGTTTGTGTGTCTGTGGAAACCACAGGCCAAATTACAAAAGCTTGTAACTGTAACAACTTGAAATTTGTAGGTGAGTGGGGAGGAGAGACATATTTCAAAATCCACAAATACAACAGAAGTTTGCATGTCATCTGTATCCCTCTCCATCACAGAGTGTTACATTAGCTCTAATGCATAATTATAGTGCTTTAGCATTAATTGCAAATGGTTTCTTAGACTTGCCAGATTTTAATGAAGGAGTTATTTTTTGAGGAGTTTAATTTTGCTGTCTTGTTCCCCAGAGAGATTTGTTTCATGTGGCCTAGCTCTATTAATCTTTAAAAATTGGTTTGTGATAGTTCTAATGTATCTTACTCAAAAGCTGAAAAGCCAGGTTATTGATTAGTCCACTCTGCAGGACAGTCTTGCTGCTGAGTAAATGAGGAAAAAAAAAAAAAGAACCTATCCCAGTGCTGCATGTTTTATTGTCCCTTTTTCTTTTAACCTGTAATTGAAAAAGATACTATAACCATCCAAAGCCATTTGTTCTGCCATTTGAGAAAATACCGTTTTCTGTGCTACAAGAGAAAGTCAAGTTTTAGACACAATTACACGTAAATGACCTCTGAAAGCAGTTTGTCAAAGTTTCATTTTCAGTGACTTAAAGCATTTAATTTCTGGCAGTTTTATTGTTGCTTTTCTCCCATCTTAGTAAGTTTTCTGCAGATTGTGAATACATGAAACTCAGAAGCCAGCAAAGTAGTCCATCAGTCACTGAACAAAATTTATTCCAAACACAAAAGAAAAGGATTCCAACTGTAAGCTCCAGCTGTGGAGAAAATGTTGGGCTCAGACATTTTTAACTTGTCTGTAGCACTCATGCTGCCTTACTGTGGTTTAATTTACTGAGGCCTATATAAGAGAACAGGGTCATTTAAATGTAACCAAAAGAAGTACTTAAAACGTATCCTTCCTATAAACTAACACAACCTGTTATGGGCAATCTACATTAGATTTTCTGGCTAGCCACTAACAGGAGTTTGGAAATAGAACATCCACTTTAAATCCACACTAAGGGATTACTCTGAGTTATGTTCACATTCACGTGTTCACATTACATTACTTTTTTAACTTGGATTTTCACTTGTCTCATATGTAATACTGACTAAATGATGGGAGTTTTCTCCACTTTGCAGGGATTAGGAATAACTTCAAGAAAGGAACATTTAAGTATAACAGTGACTTTACCTTTTCTACTAAAACCTTAGGCTTTGTTGCAATCATTTGTTGAGACAGCTCCCTGAGTCCTATGTACTGGAACTGGAAATAAACTGCCAGCTGTAATTATGCAAAGCGAGAGGCTTCAGCATACATAACTATACAGCTGTAATGCCACCAGCAAACAGAAGGAATCTTTTAGACTAAGTGAAGACAGTCTACATATGCCATGGTCTAATGTGAAAATTATGAATAATTGTCATTTCTTATACCTATTAATTACAGCTACAGGGTATCAGTGCTGGGCTTCACAGCCACATAAGTGTATTTGACAAACTGTTTTGCATTTCCCCTTATTAATTCACATTAGGAACTAATTTACACTACTTAGAGATGTTTCAATGTGGCTAGCGTAGTAGTCTCATGACTACTGTAATTGTAAAGTCAAGACAGAGATGAGGATTAAGAGCTGTCCACGCTCCAAAAGGTAGCACATTCTGCAGCACAGATGAGCAATACCCCCGGTAGTTTCCATCCAGCTGGCATTTGCTAGAAACAGAGGCAATCTGGAATGGTGGCAGACATGAAGTCCAGAGCCTGCCTCAAGTTAAATCTTGTTCTTTAGTATGTCCGCAAGTCATTTAATTGTTCTAAAATAACAGCCAGCTCCCCATGATGCTATGAATCCTTCCCTTAGAGTATAACACAAAAGCCTGTCGGAGACTAAGGTAAAATCAGGAAGAACTTTGTCTATACCATCCCTAAAAACTCAATTTTGCATAGACATATAATGTTACACCTTGTTTTCAGGTCATGAGCACATAACGAAGTCTCTCTCTCACACACACACATACACATACAATTCATCTACAAAATTTTATGCACTGATCTATCATTACACTTCTAAATAAGGCCAATGATCGTCTGCTGCCCAGAGCACATTGGACATAAGCACAATTTTTTCTTAGACAACATCAAACCTGTTTCAGGAAACGCACAACCTAGTTCCATCAGTTATAAAACAGGGAAAATATTCATTAAGTGGAAAAGTGTTTCCTGGTTTTTGGAGGATACTTGCATATATGTGAATGTGTTATGTAACTGAAAAGACAAGGGAAAGCACTGGCTAAAACTGGCAGCAACAAGCTACCAAGGCTAAGCTGCTGATCTGACAGAACTGGACTTGTATTCTGACACAGTTCAGCATGATACTCTCACAAATAAACTACGGAAATAAGAACGTGGCAAAATCATCATTAAAGTATGTAGCCCCATTACCAGCAGTCTGCTGTCAGGCCAAGAGCATTTTCCAGATAGGATCCTGCTGTGGATTTGTTATGGCTTTCATACCTACAAGTATCTTCATTGACGACTTGGATGGGGGAACAGAGTGAAAAAAATGGGTTGAGGATATCATCTTGGGAAAGGCTGCAAGCATATTGGAGGTCAGAAGAAGTCAATGTAGGTCTGACAAACTGGAGACACAGTTTGAAACCAAAACACTGAAATTCAACGACGACAGATGCAGAGTGCTTTGCTAAGAAATCAAAAGCACAAGTACAAAATAGAGGAGACTGACTAAACAGCAACAAAAAAAGGATCTGGGGATTATAATGGACCACAAAAAACAAATCAACAGAATTATCCTGCTGCAGCACGTTGGAAGCCTAGAACAAAATGCACACTATATGTTTTTCCAAGCATTATCAATCAATGGTGTTCATATGTGTTAACTGTTGCTCAATGGCGTTAACACTTTTAAGAGGCCTAAATTCCACCTGCAGTGTGGACACAGGCACAGTCCAGTGGAATAGCAAGTGCAACCTCTGGGGAAGGTGAAGAAGGGAAGCTAGTGAATTCTGGCACCAAAAGGAGGGCTCCAGCTCCACCTAAAGGCTTGCCACTATGAAACAGTTTCACTGCCCTCAAGGCTGAGGAGGAGCCAGATGTGCTTTCAAGCAAAGCATCTGGGCCAACTGACCCTGAACAATGCAAGACCCCTGGGAGGAAGCAGTGACTGATAGTAGTGGGCAACTCCCTGCTGTGGGGAAGAGGCACCCATCTGCTGACCTGACCTG